TTGAAACATGCGTATGAGTTGTATTTATATTAGTATATTGTTTATATAATCCTGATTAGATAATAAATACTACTAACTGTTTTGATTTTTTATATATCAATCTTTTGAAAAAATAAACTAAATTATTCATTTTTTATAAAATTTTTCTTGAAAAAAAAGACATAAGGTGAACTGAACAATAATTTTTATAAGTATTTGATTCTTTTAAGAATTCCTTATAGGTTTTATAATTGTATAGAAATAATATATTCAACACTATTATTTATTTTATAAAAGATTTTTAACCTTCACCAACTACTTCTTTTATGATTTCAAAACTTCTTTAAACCATCATCATAAAATAATAATTTCTTTTTCAATTCTATTTCAATGTTTACTATACATAACCAATGCTCCAAAGAAGTTTTCATAAAGTTTAATATATTAACTATATTGTTTTTTTGTAGTTTGACATTTTGAAAGGTTTAATCCAAATGATCATTGAAAAGAGTTGTAGATACTTTGAAAATTTGAACTATTATATTTAATTTCTGTTTTAATCTTAAACTGTACTCAACTTTAAACTTATATAATCATTAGATTGTTTCATTTTTAAATATATTTTTGTCAAACAAAATTATAATAAAAAGCTATAATATGAGTACTGCAGAGCGAAAAGCTGGAAGTGAATATTTAGGTTTAAAATCTTGGTCGAATTAAGATCAATTCGGACCAAAAATTTCGACTGCTCCCCTGGGAATAATATAAAGTTCAAAAATACACTATGAACTATATAAATTGTGTAACCGATCAGTAAATTTTTTATACAACGATTATAGTAATAAGGCGCGACGAACTTCTGTACCCCTGACATAATTTAAATAATTCAAATTTTTACCGGGGAAGAGTGGACATTCCCGGTCCAATCAACTATTATGATCAACAATGCATCGGCATTGCCACTTTTCATCACCAGATCATTATATAAAGTTATTCCAATAACAAGGTGTAGCTTACAAACTCTTTTCTAATACGTGTGAATGCACTTTTTTTTAATATAACGTACTCACGTCATGGTTTGCTTTTAGAGCTCAGTTCGATTATATAAGAACCTTCATCTGTGTGTATTCCAACTTGAAGTTTAACTATAAGAATTTGGCACAAATCTTAAAGTACGTACTTGATGGGAAAGTTGGGTGGAACAAAAATCTAATTGCTGTATAGTTGAAAATGATACTAGCTACCACTTTATGTCCTTTTTTCATTAATTTCCTTTGGAAACTGTGAGGTTGAAATACAATTAGCTCTGTGTAAAGCGATTGTGGTGTAGTATGGGGATCTATATATTAGAAGTTACAGGATTACATGTACTTATTATTTTAAAACTAACCATAAATACTATATAATGTTATCATGTAGATTTCCACACATTTTTATACCTAAGTGTAAACAAAAAAAAAATTTTTTTTGAAAACTAAAAACTTTACCCTTTTAGTTGTGGTTTTCTGACAAAATTCTTGTAATTTCGTTCAAATGACTGATGAATTTGATATATATAATGACGACAATTTCGGTGCGAATGGGGACCCAGTACGTTAAGTCTAATTTTATTATTCTATCTGTTAACTAATATTAATTTTTAGTTCCTAAAATAAAAACGATAATATTATTTCGACAATAGCATGACGATTTGTATGCAGAAATATTAGAAGATGATGACAATCGTCCACTAAAGCGCAGTAGGAGAGATAATGACCTTAGTTATGATCATCCAGATATTCATTCTGGTGTACAAGAAGAAAAGGACGGTGATGATGATTTGTTCGCAGATTTCGGGGAAGGTGAAAAGGTTCGTAATTACTTCACAGCGCAGCTAGTGCCGATGTTTCTTTTATACGTTTTTATATTGTGTAATTAATTCTGGACTGCGCTGTGCTGTATTGTAAGGATGGGAGGAATGTTCTGGTCCAAGTTTGCGTTTTTTTCTTTTTTTTTTTTCTTTTTATTTTTTATTTATTTATTTTTATTTTATATTTCTACTTTTTGTTTTTACTTGTTTGGATGTTTGTATTGTTTGCTTGTCTGCATTTGTGTTTCTCGTACTTTCTCTTTCCGAGATTGATTCAATTCTTAAGTGGTAGTTCTGACGTCTTGTTAATTGACAATATCTGTAATATAATAAGGAAAAAGGATGTATAGCGATGAAATTTTATCAAAAGTTGTATTGAAACCAATCAATTAAAAACAAAAAAAAAAAAAAGAAAAAACAAAAGAATTTATGAAAAAAAATAAACACCTGAACTTACCAGTTTTCGCTTTTTTCTCTTCACTCCAATAATCTCGTCAATGATTTATGTGATATTTGCTCGAATCTTGCTGTCGAATTTAACGCAGGGATATGAAGTAAAATTGGAACCGTCCGAAGAAGATCAATTTCCTGTTGCGCATAATAACTCCCATGAAGGTAATAGGAATTAGTATCTTACGTCCATACAACCAACGTACGATGTTGCGAAGAACTATGAATTTGAATTTTTTTTTCTAAGCACCATAACATTGATCGTTCTTCATTATAGGTCACAACAATCATGTACAACGAGCATCTTCGAGTAGTAGTGTTCAACATATGCAAGAACGTAGGACGGCTGCAAATGCTACAAATGCTTTATATATTGGTGAATTGAACTGGGTAAATTGAAAAAGAATTTTTTAACATTGTCAAAAATATGTTAGGCTGATACTTTATATTTTATTAGTGGACCACAGACGAAGACCTTCGTAATATTGCCCGTGAGGTTGGAGTTGCGAATGATGTGACTGAAATTACCTTTTATGAGCATAAAGTGAACGGAAAATCTCGAGGGTAGAAAAAAAAATTTTACAAAATACATTATTTTCAAAGCAGTTTTACGATAACGATTGAATTATTATCATTTTTTCTTTTAACTTGTAGTGTCGCATACGTTGAATTTACAACGCCAGAAGCAGCAAGCAAGGTTAAAGACAGACTAGAAGAAATGTGAGTTTTGATTAACGCAAGTCATTTATTATTATATTTGGAAAAAAGTTAACCTATTACAACATTTTTAACTTAGTGAAATAACTGGGAAAAAATGTCTTGTGAATTTTACAAGCTCGGCTAATGGTAATCCGTTTAAAACAGTTCCAAAAGGTAAGTTATCGATATCTTTTATGACATTTAAAACATAATCATTTTCACTTTAATGTTATTTTCACTCTTACTGTATATATTACTGATTTCAGAACCTCCACCAAAAGCTTCACGTCAGATAATGCAACAACAGCAATCTGCTTCACAGAGAACTGCATCAGGTCTTCCCATTCGTCCGGTTATGCGACCAGGCTCACTGGATTTTCATCCTCATCCTCGTAGTGGCTTCAGAGCCGGACAAATGGTTTCTGGACCAAGAGATTTTTTCAACCCTCCAATCGCACCAGCATATTCCGGATTTGCCGCTGGTCGTGGTTCATATATGAATGGTTTCGCTGGTACCGGAGATGCATCTTTTGCCATGAATCCAATGATGGCACGTGGCGGAATGATGGGTATGAGAAATCAACAAGTTGGACCTGTTCGTCGTGGATTAATGAGTGGCCGAGGTGTAATGCGCGGAGGATATGGTGACGAATTTATGGGCGCTAACATGGGCGGTTTTAATAGTAATTATTTTAACATACATCTTAATAATCGAAAACTTTGTCACTTTATTAAAAATTTACCTTGTGTTTGATGTAATTTAAGCACCGACGGGCCCAGGATTTCCAGCACCTCATTTTAATCCGGCATTTTTTGATCAAGGATTTGGCGGCGAAGATGTACCTGTCGCACCGCGAGGACAAAGGTATTTCCCCTAAATGATCGACCGCTTTCCTGCAATTTCCGCTATGGAGGACCTTAACAATTTCCGACTCTTACGATGCATATGATCTTAAATAAAACCACATAGAGGTTACGATGGTGTCACTCATGGTATGAAAAGATCACGTGATGATGATGATCATGGACATATGGATGGAAGAGGTAATTTTTTTTTAATCGAAATACGATCCGAAATATTCGTTCATATGTTAAGGAAATAAAGTATGATTGAATACTTTATTCCCTATTAGACTTGTATAATATTAAAAATAACGAATACACTGATTACATCCCAAAATTTTTAATTATTGATTGTCACACGTTTCCATTTTGTACATCAGATCGTCGATACTGAACTCGAAATTTAGTCTCCACCATGTATCCATGTCCTCAATTTTCATTTCATGAATTGACCCATCTAACTTCCAAGTGGCTCGCGTTTTTTTTTTTATATTCTAGATACATAGTTGGAATTGGATGCGTAAAAATTTTCTAACCTTTTTATCAAATGCCGAATAATTTTAGTATCCATTATTATCTCTATTTTGCTTAAATTTATTAAAGTACATGACAGTTTATATATAACAAAAAATACTATTATCTTTTTATAATTGTGGCATAAATAAAAATAATTTACGTTAAAATTTTTTGCAACAGTTGTACTGTGTTACATATGGTGATCCAAATCGTTAGTTGAAAAATCAACTAGTTGACATCTTTCCAACTAGTTGATTTGGAAAATGTTAAAAACAACTAAACAACTGAATCATTAAATAGTTCAATTATGAAATATTCTGTCTGTTCGGGCTAACTCATGCTAATTTCTTTGATTTGATTGGCTAATTAACAAATTTGGTCACATGATATAGAAGTTGGCAATTAGTTGATTGGCCAACTTACATATAAATTTTAACGTTAAGTTGTACATTAAAAATATTAAAAAATTTCTGGATGTTTCCAGTGCAGAATCGATTTTTTTGATGAAGCAATTTTATTGGCTTAAAATTTATGGTGCGACATATATAAATTCGGAATTCGGACTCCACGTCGATATAAAAAATCAGCTAAAAAATTTGCTTCTCTCAATTAAAATAAAACCGATTGTATATTCACTTATTTCCCTTTATTATTAATACCAAATATGCCTATCGATTATAGTAAGTGGGACAAACTTGAACTTAGTGACGACGACGACTTTGAATGTCACCCAAATGTTGACAAAGCATCTTTTATAAGATGGAAACAAGCTGATATTCATCAAAAACGCGAAGAAAGACGTCAGAAAATTCAGGCTCTTAATCAAAAAATTGCACAGAATGAAGTTTTACTTTCTCGAATCGATGATATGATAAAACAGATTGAAAAGGATGGAGTAGAGGCATTCTTGAAATCAATAAACAAATTACGCGAAGCAAACAGTAAACTGGAGAACGAAACTAAAAATGATGAATCGACAGATCAAGAAGATAAACCACTCAAATATCCAACTTTTGATCAAATGATGGCCATGTTATTCGATAAAATTCAGAGTGAAATCAATAATGAAAGCCCCGAAGAAGTTGGCGATGAATTGGTGAGGAAGTTGAAGGAACATTATAATAAATTGAGTAAAGATCAAAAGGAAACTAAGATAGAATTGGAAAAGGAAGAAAGAGAAGCTAAAAAAAAGATTACTATAGATGACATGCATACAGGCTTTGATAGTAGTGTAAGTCTACTTTATTACAAACTTTATCTTAATAATTAAATTGTTAATCTGAAATATAATATTGTAAACAGGTTGTTAATAAAGCTAAAAAAATGGTGATACCAAAAACTAAAAAAAAGGAAAAATCAATTGAAGTATTGAATCCTGATGCTAAGTTAAAACCTCTTGAAGGTGAATCGGTAAGCAAATCAATTAAATATATATATATATTTTAGTCTGAGTTGATGTGGTATTCACAATCAGTTTCACATGCATAGGAACCGGCTGAAAATGACGATGAAGCTGAGGGTGATGATGAGGCTGAGGATGATGACGACGAAGAATTAGTTATTTCAGATTTAGCAAAAGAGTTTGCGGCTATTACAAGTTACGATGAAAGTTATAAATTTATAACTAACCATCCTGAAGTGGTAGATCAAGACATATCAGATCAAATCTTGGGTGAGGCATTCCGTGCGCAATTAAAAGGAAAGGACAAGTACGCTAAACAATGTGTACATCAGGGCTGGTTGTTACAGTATTGCCAGAAATTAGGAAAAGATGGTGTTACACTGTTTTTCAGAAGGTATAGGGAATATCATTGACTTTATGAAATTTTATTTGTATTATTAATGTTTAATTAATATTGTTCTTTTTTTTCAGAATAACGTCACCAGATCCACAAGCACGTGAAGTTTTTATAAAGGATGTTAATGAGACTTATGACCGTATTCGTGAACGTTGTAAAGTAATGAATGCTGAGAAGACGCAAAGGCCTCAAAAAGCTCAGGTGGAACACATTCAAATTGAAGTTACAGATCCAAATACTTCTCTCAGTGTTCGTATTCCGGATGGAAACTCGGAGGATGAGAAAGAAAAAGCTAAATATCAAAGCTTCTTAAAATTGCCAGAGAATTTCCAAGAAGCCTTAAAAACCGGTGAATTAACAAAGATTAATAAAGTCTTAGGCGCAATGACAGTAGAAGAAGCGGAACGTGTTTTAGACATATGTGGAGAGGCAGATGTCTTGTCACTTGAAGGTGGTATTATCGATGCCACTCAGGGCCAGACTATTCCTGGACAAATTATCGATAAAGACGAATGAGTAGTACTTGTATTCCATTATTATTATATCTCTGATATAGCAATATAATATATTTAATAAAATTCAGGTTATACAATAACAAGTCGAGTTAATATATAATGTGTTGTAAGTGGAAACGGAATTTAAGTGGATTCGGAATCTTTATATAAAACCTGCATTTTGGGTTGATTTGTCATATACACCCTAACCCCAACCCCAATTTAACTAAGAAATTCCATTCTCACTTACGACATATATATATGCTTAAAGTAGGTTATTTTATTACTTATTCTACTTTTAAGATGTATTATAATTTTTGGAAATAAATTTATTGTAAACTATTTATAGAATCTTATAATTGTTCTAAAGTTCCAAAGTTATTAGGATTGGATTAGTGGTAAACTAATACTTAACTAGTCCAAGACCAGACTTTTTAGGGACTGGTTGTCCATCCCTAGTCGATTTTCGGCTGTGTAATTATTTTCGGTTCAGAAAATATAAAAAATGCCGTAAATCGTCCCGAATTTAGGCATCCATGTAAATCACGATGCTCTTTTAAAGTAACTTTTTGATTTTTTTGAATTTTTTTAATCTCTAAATAAATCCTAAGTTAAAATAATTAATGATGAGTTCATTAAGTAGTAATATTTTAATACTATATCAAACATAAGTTTTTTCACTAATTCCTTTTCTAGAATCATTCAAAGAAACTTCAGTAGATTGTTTTTGTATGCGTAGAATGAACTACCCTCGCCAAACGCTTCCTTAGGTATTCAATCCAGTGAGAGCCACTCTTGCAAGTATTTTAGGCGGCGTCATAAGAATAAACTATTACCAGACTATTCATTCGTGTGTGTAGAATAAATTATTTAACTCAGGCAATCGACCAGCGAGAGCCACTCTCAGGTGGCATCACAAAAGCAGCCTCCGGGTTGACTACTAATAAAACATACATACCTTATTTTGAATTTCTTTCAATTTGATAATTTTTTTTCTGAAGCCAATCGTTGGAATTATTGCTAGCATTTGTATAATCTCGAAAAAAAATTCTTGCAAAACAACACTGATGAAAATCAAAAACGCGCTATTTATGTGTTTAAGGACATTCACTTGATTGGTTGTAGAGATGTGCACGTGCGGGATCCTGCGCGTAATGCGCAGAATTTTTTTTAGAGCCCAAAATAAAAGGTGGTTTCTTAAGTTTTTGAGAAGTAAGCGATTTTTGAAAAACGAACGTTTTGTTTTGATCTTTCTGATCGTGTAACGGTACATTAAAACGAGACTCGCTATTGGATGATCATCACGTGAAAGTGAAAATCTGACGGGTAGTTAATTTACCGTGATTTTTTTTTTTCGATTTTTTAAAATGAAAATCGAAGTAAAATTATAAAAACTAATCAGGCAAATGCAATTGCACCAGAAATCCTTGTAGATTTATTTTTAATGCTCTTCCGAAGATTATAACTCTGATTATTTATTTGAGTCTAGAACGCAGCAACAAAAAATTATTGAAGAAAAAACAAATAGTAACAAATGGCTCGATAGTATTAATAAAAACTTTTTACTATTGCATAAATTGGAGAAGTATAATCATTGTAAAAGGCAATGGAATCTTAGAAAAACTGTAATTATAATACTTTTTGGCTGTAATAAATATTACATTTATTGAGTTATTTGAAATAAATAAAATGATTAATTTATTACTTATTATTATAATTTTGTTAGTTTAAATGTTATAATTATTAAGTTTTTAAATCAGTTCACTTATATAAGAAACCTTTTACCTTTGTACTAAACCTTTTAGAATCTTTTGTATTTTATTCTTATAGCTGATCTAGTAATGTTATAATCAAAATCAACATTTGCAGTTAACTCACTATTAAACTGTTATGTTTTTATAAAGTTTATCTTAATATGATATTTATTTTACAACTTATTTTTATTATTTTAGTATTTAATTCAAATTTTATCAAGTTCTTAGTTCAAATAGTTTAAAAAATTAATTATAACTATATCTATATTCTGGTATATAACTTTTTTTTCAAAAATTTTATTAACTTGGTTAGTTAAAATAACTTCCTTTTAAAAATTAATATTTTATTTAATTATATAAATTTTAATTCTAATGAGATGGGGTCCTGTAGCCTAGTGGCCTAGGTGCCTCTCTTTTTACAAACAAAGTCAACAGTTCAATTTCAGCTAAAAGTAAAAACTCTGTAATTTATGAAAGCATATAAATGTATACAAAGCCTTATAGTTAAATCTATGTGAATAGAAGATTAGTGTATAAAGAAATTCTCAGAAAGAAGTTTCTCAATATAGAGAGTTAATGCTCAATGCAAGAGAAGTGATAAATATACCAGAAATAAAAAGAAGACATACTAACAGGTAATATAAATATAAAAGAAAACTATAAAAAGAAATAGATTTACTAAAATTCAAACACTTCTGGCACCAAATTGATTCTAGTAGATATAAGATCTACTAAAATTAAATAAATATAAGAAGTAATCTTAGTACTATACTTAGTAAGTTTGTGTTGAGAGTAAATTCAAAAGGACTATGAATACTTAGTAATATTCAATAAGATAGTACTTATATATAAATAGTAATTAGATAGTTCTAATCTGTTTTGTCTTAATAATAGTAATGTATTATATTTCAGATATATGTAATAAGTATTAAAAATCAGAAAGTTTAAATAGAAGACTCACAAACAGGTCTTAGGTATGGCATCTAGTAGGTAACCTATAGGCAAAACTCTTAATTAGATAATGACTAAAGTTATATGTATGATTAGTTGTACTTTCATTAATATATATTATATATAATATATAATAATACATTATTAATAATAAAAAAAACATATAGGCAAGATTGCTCTTGAAACTAAATAAAAAAATAAAAATAAATTTTAATTCTGTTTTTAAGATCTAGTTTTTATAATAATATTATTGAAAGTTTGAATTATCTTTTTATTCAAATTTTTTAAATAAGCTTTTGTTTTCTTGGTTTTTATGATTTATATAATTATAAAGGCTTATTATAAGTTTATACTATTTGACACTAATTTATGTTTTCTATTTAACAATATATTATTATACAAATATTATATAATCTTCTAGTTATACTAATATATTTTATTTTAACCAATAGCAAAAGACAATTAATTATAATATAAAGAGAATTTTTAAATTTTTATTAATATTAAATTTTGAACTTCAGATTTGTCAATTAAGAAATAATAATATAATTACTTCACTATGTTATCATATTTTTAAAATAAAAAATTTATTAGTAATATATTTTAATTTATTATATATATATATTTTTTTTTAATATTAAAAGTAAATACTTGTAATTTAGATTTTTATTAATAGTATGTTTTAGTTTTGTAATTCTATTATAACAGTTATAAAAGGACAATTATAAGAAAAATATATAACTAGTTACTTATACAACTTTAGTTATTGTCTAATTTAAGTAGTTTATCTAAAGATTTTACACTAGTTGCTATATTTAAAAATTACTTGCAAGTCTTTTATTTAAATATTTTGGTTCTTGTATTTATCTATCTACTTATTCTACTAACTGCTCTAGTTTATACTAATACAAATATACTATGATTATTAGATCTTTAAAGTAGTTCACTTATATAAAGAATTTTTGATATTGTGCTAAACCTATCAGAGTCTTTTATTACTTAATTTTTAGTTAACTCAGTATCACTATAGCTAAAACTAACACTTGCAATTATATAGAATAACTTTTAAATTACTATATTCTTGTAGAGTTTAACAACTTCTGTACTTCTTTTTACAATCTTACTAATATCTTGTATATTTCTGCAAGTTCTTCTATACTACTAATTTAGTTAGCTTTGCATAATATAGCTTTATACTTAGTTTAACTAGTAGTCAAATTAGTAAATCTTTTTATCTAGAATTTTTGCCTATATAGATTATCTGTTTTAGGTTTTTATCTTCAGATCAAGATTTTTATAAGTAGTACCATTGATAATTGTACTATTTTTTTACTTAAAATTTCCAAATAGAACTTTTTATAAAGTATATACTTTTTGAATTTATTTATATAATATTGTATGCTCTCAAAGTTTTAATTTATTATATAAAAATTCATTATATATTTAAATCATATAAAAAATAATTTATATATATTTTATTTTTAAATATTATAAAAATTATTAACTAATTAGAAATAAATTACAAGTAATTTGTAAAAATTATAATTTTTAATAAAAACTAAAACATATTATCAGATTTTTTTAATATAATTTTTAATTTTTATATAAAAATTTTATATATTAATAATTTATATTTGAAGTATAATAACTTAGTAAAATAGATAAATTATTAATAAGGTGTAGTGACCTAGTGAAGTGGTCAGGTTGTCAACCCTCCAAGTGGTAGATTGGGTGTTCAAATCCTATCAATAGCGAAAATTTAGATAATCACCTATGTAATATTCATATTATGACAATTGTTACTAATAATTAGATTAGATTATTTGTAATGGTGGTCACACCAGCATGACTGGCAGGTCATAGGGCATCTGTGCAATATTGGAGTTACACAGAGAAATGCAAACTGACAAATTGGACAGTACAAATACTAGATAAGTCCTTGTGGCTGTGTAAATCTGTTGAAATTGGGTAACAAGAAGTCTATTTGGGAAGACCCAAATAAAGAGATAGCTGGATCTTTGACGGCCCTACTGTAAATGCTAGCTTGGCAAAACAGATACCCAGGTCTAGTACCTGGTCCTAGTAGCTGAACAGGCAAAAACCTCTGGGTTGGAAATCTCGGAGGTATTACCAACTAGGCTGCTAGAACGAACTAGAAGAAAAGAATATCAGGCTAATCTGATATACCAATGGACTGGTCATAGTCTTACACAAGCTATCTGGATTGAGAGTTTGGTAAAAGGGCAGAGAAAAAGGCAGAGATATACTAAAGTACTGAGGTTATGCTGTGAAGTAGTTGCTAGGGTCTAAATAAACT